TTTCTTCAGAAAGTTTTTTTTTTTCTTCAGAATTTTTTTTTTCTTCAGAATTTTTTTTTTTCTTCTAGAAGTTTTTTCTTCAGTTTTTTTTTCTTCTAGTAAGTTTTTTTTCTTCTAGAAGTTTTTTTTTTTCTTCTAGAAGTTTTTTTTTCTTCTAGTAAGTTTGTTTTCTTTCAGAAGTTTTTTTTCTTTCAGAAGTTTTTTCTTCAGTTTTTTTCTTCAGAAGTTTTTTTTCTTCAGAATTTTTTTTTTCTTCAGTAGTTTTTTATCTTCAGAAGTTGGTTTTCTTCAGTTTTTTTTTCTTCAGAAGGTTTTTTCTTCAGAAGTTTTTTCTTCAGAAGTTTTTTTTTTTCTTCAGAGTTTTTTTTTCTTCAGAATTTTTTTTCTTCAGAAGTTTTTCTTCAGTTTTTTTTTCTTCAGAAGTTTTTTTTCTTCAGAAGTTTTTTTTTCTTCAGAAGTTTTTTTTCTTCAGAAGTTGTTTTTTTTTCAGAAGTTTTTTTCTTCAGAATCCAGACTTTGACCAGACTAGACAATGTACCATACCAACTAATTATTATGTTGAAATGGATGTGTATATTTTGTTGTACAAATACTCATTACTGCCCTACATTTGTACTTAATTTGGCTTGATTTTCTATCTCTTTAGTTAGTAAGATTTTAAACTCAAGTTGCAGGAGAAGGCTACAAACTGCATTTCAGAAGGGTAAAATGCAACAGCTTCTCCTACGGAGACGGGGGGGAATCCCCCCCCCCTCTCCGGACCTCCCCCCACCTCACAGCCGCGCTTCGCGCGGCGTAGGGCACTACGTGCCCTCCAAAAAATTTCCAGCACCACTCCCCTAAAAATTCCTGGGGAGACCCCTGAAATTTCTTACCTTTTTTAAGTCAATAATTTCATCATACATGTCTTCCTGAGGCTTGTAAGCTGGGGTCCCTGATGGCACTGTGAAATGTAGTACAGTGGTTTAGTGAAAGACACCACAATTAGGAAAAACTGGCTCACAGCGAATAACAAGTAGAAGAGTTGTCTCAATCAACATATATTTTCAGTTTTATGGACAGACAATACTTAAAGACTATTACTCCATACTTCATCGTATATCTATTTGATACTTTTGCAAATATTAGAGAATATGCAAATTCTCACTGTACCACCAACTTACATTTCTGCGTGAGGGGCACCTCTTTGTAAGTGGATGATGTCCGTCCCGTCATCACAGACTTCAGGTACTGACTGGAGCTGGCTGTGGCTGCGTTCCTACTGGGGGGACGGCCCGTGTCCACACCATTCCGGATACAACCGGTCAGAGCTGACAAATGTAGGAGCATTAGAGTGATAATGTAACTTTAAGTACATGCACTTGATTGCAAGGCTACTGCTAAAAAGGCTTCATAAGCCATGACCTTGTCTTTTATTACATTATGTACATATTCTTGCCATACATGGCACATGTATAATCTCTCACTCAGGGACTGATTGGGGCCATACACCTCTAACTCAAAAGTGTAACAAAATAAATCACTCCAGAATGCATTTGATCTTCACAGACATGGTGCAATGTATCAAGGAATACATGCAAGAGGAGGTTCTGCCATCCAATTACATGTCAAGTACAATATTGTCCAACTTGCACTAAAGAAAAAAATTAGTTATATTGACTGCTATTGTCACTCTAGCTACTCATATGTATTTTACTTTTTATCATTTTATTTCCTGACTGTACAGTGTAAACTGTACACCAATTCAGCCATTGTACAGCATCATTCAATCAATAATATCACAAGTACATAAAATTTGTTGTTACCTCCTGTCCGCCCTCTCATGGCTGCTATCCACTGTTCCCGGGGGTTCTTGGCAGCACCTGTCCGCTGCCCCCCTCCCGACTTTCCCTGTCGTCCTGCTGTCGGCATGCTGATACTTGTAGATTATGTTCTCTGAAAAAACATAGACAAACATATTTTGATGTTGTATACAAGATATAAATCAGCACTGTAAGTCTATACCGGTAAAGGTAGGCTAAATGAGAAATGTCATGGCGCATCTCTACACAACTACATGTATCTAGTAATTCAAAGTTTAATGGTATTTGATGTAAAAGATTTCATTTTACATGTATTCACAGTGACAGGAACATTGTATAGCCATAGTCCCTTCATACAAAAGATGCAGGTTAATGCCTCTCCAGGTGCTATGACCCTGCTACTCTCAAATAATGGCATCAATTATACTGTTAAAGCCAGTAAAAATCAAGGAATATTTTGACAGCCTACATAACACGACCATCAAATATTAAGTCATCTATGAACTGGTAGAAAGCCTGAGGCAGCAGTATGTTTGTGGACATGGACTGGCTTGTTTACATGGTAACTAATTGAAGGGGTGTGGCCATACTTCTGGAGATGATGGGACCATGGAGGAATGAAGGCTAATCAATCCAAGCAGATGTTGGGGTGGATGACTGTAAAGATTCCTATAAACTGGCCAGCTTTTCACCAAGCAGATGTTGGTAAGTGGCTGTCTGGCCAGTCAGAAAACATTACGATTTTTAGACCAACACTGCTTGGAGATAAATGAAGGTCCAGTCTTAAAGGGAAAGAATTCAGCCTCTATTAACCCTCTCTAAACCAGGGAGAGAAAACGTTAAAATACTAATCCATGTAACAGGTTTAGAAGACTACTTATTGCAAAATGTATGATGATCCTAACTACCTTACAAGCAAGATTCCCTTTTGCAGTTACAGACCAGGTCCTAGCAGCTTGCCTAATTACCAAGAACGAAGTTGAGAGTGCAAATAAAGAAGCTGGGGTTACAACAGCGCTAGCTTCAAGCCTTCTGCTAGCTCAAGTCTAAATACCTGTATTGTATGGCTAATGCCACCCAATAAACCTGTTCTATGGTACCAAGATCAAACAAGCCTGCCCAGTTCTTATGTGTAAAGGGGTTTTACTTTGTGGTGCAAACCCGTGTTTGCACTTGTCAGCACACAATACACACCTGTGATGAATTCTTACCTACAGGTGTACTGGTGCCCAGGTAAACAACGTGCACAACGTACTCAGTCACTCTAAATCTCCTCATAAAGCACTTACTTGGGGTCATTTGAGCAGAACGACAATGTTTGATGAGTAATGGTACTACCGTACTGGTAATGGATCAATGGTCTTTACTTTGATTCATACTAATCATTGCAAAGGAGGATGGCTAAGAATCTAGAATATTAATCAGAACATCCTAAAAAGAAGTTCAGGACAGTTTACCTTCTTCCATTTGTCCTAATAACTGTTAGAAAAAGTGAACCTTTATTCTGAAATTCTGAATCTCCGAGTAAATGTGGTTGTTGATTTCATACCTTTCTTATTTATCATTATCATCATCAAGAACATCAGATGTCAACTCAGGAAAACAGGATAATTCACATGTTATGACTACAACTTAGTACAAGACACAAACAAAACCCAATCAATTTTTGGCAACATAACGTAACATGTACAATCATTGTAGAAGACTTGATCTACTAATCTTTAGGTTACAGTATGTAACGTTACTGTGTATGTAGTTAAGTTTCACAATGAGTAGCTTGAGTGTCAAAGGACAATCTGTTGAAACTGGAGGATTTCTATAGACCTCTATACAATGAGTAAATAACAGCCTTTAACTTTAAGTTTAAGAATTAAATCATCAACTATTATTGTAATATTGGTTACAACTAAAACCACAAGACAAGTGGTGATTAGCTAGAGTTAATATTTATTGTATATTGATTCAATTATGATATGTTTCACAATGGTTAAGTTGTTTTTCACCTGAGTTAAGTGAGGAAAGTCGTGTAGATAAACCTCTTCCACCACAATCATAATGTTTTCTTGACACAAACATTCCATCATTTTAAAGCTGCCTGTACTGACAAAAATTCTCTTTACCTTTTCTTCCTTCTGTCGCAGAGTGTGTCTTCGTGGTCAAGTCATGGTGGAGTAAATCCACAGTCAATCTTTCCAAGCCTTAGACAAATTCCTTTTGTCCCGTTCCCTTGGTAAGTCACAAAGGTGACCCGACCAAACCTCCTTGTCCTTGGAACTCGGGAATAACTTGTGATTTCTTGGCTGATGTGTTGTGGTTTCAGTCCAGCGTGGTCTCCCGAAGCTGCGATGTTCTCTAAGACACGTTGCGTGGCTTTCCCGGCCACGGTTCACGCGGAGTTGTGGAGTTGTTGACTGTTGTTGTGACGAACCAGGTGTGTTCCGCCAGGTAACTCAAACTATGTCATTACGCACGCGTACACGGACAACCAACCGCAACCGCACAAGAAATGTGCTCGATAGTCCCTTTCGTCTTTTCTCCAAATTCTGAATAAATATATCAATATGGTTGAAGCAAAATTTATACATGATTAAATTTATGTTACTTTTTGTTGTCTTTTTGAACACTGATGTCATAGATTTGTCGGAAATTCGAGTAAATCGAAAAAGTGTTGTGCGTTTGTTGGTGGCACTCTATCACGTGATGATTCTAAACCCAAGATGGCGGCAGAGTTATCATTTGGTGAGTGAGATCTCAGTGTTGTGGGCGGTACCGCGCGCATTTTCTCCACTTTCACGCCATGGATCTGCAATATTTTACTGACAATCTCACCCCTTTTTAGGTTCCGTGCCGGCGCTGTACCGGGAGGTGTATGACATCGTGTGCCCCTCGGGGCAAGACAGCAGGGTGGACCGAGAAATGTTCGTCAAGCTCCTGATGAAGTCCAACCTTCCCAAACAGACGTTGAGTTCTGTAAGTCTTCTTCTCCTTTCACACAAATCACCAGCTTCCGTCAAATCGTTTGCTTGCACGATATGAGTCAGGGTTTTATGCAACCATAGAAGTGGAGACGGGAATTGCTGCATGGACGATAAGTATTGTTCTAAAGATACTGTATCCTCTCGTGAGAGAGGACCTGAAAGTTGCGTGCAGGACGGCGCTCAGAAAGTTGGACTTTTATCAAGTGAACTTTGGTCCTAGCATGAGACTGACCAGCTGTGACATACAATTCTATGTACATGATACTATATCCTGGAAGGATGGAAAATGCTTTCCTTCGGCGTGACAGGAAAGAGGACGTTTGATTGTTGCTTTATTCTAGCGTGACACAATTTTCAGACTTCCTGGCCCCACCCCCTTTTTGCTGAGAAAATGACAAACAGACATTGGATGGTTGGTAAACACTGTGTGTACGTCTACAGACGTCAGCCATTGGAGAATAGCTGGGGGTGCAGGTGATATATGTTTTCCAGTGTCTGCGTTCCCCATCTGCCATTGATTATGGCCCACAGTAGGAGAGCTCACTGTTGTGGTCGTCTGCCTCTAGTGCCTGACCCACATTTCAGAACAGAAGCTCCAGGATGCAAAATATATCTTCCATTTAGGGGACCATCAACACATGGCCATGACCCATCACAGCAGGCTATTTGTAACTGGCACAGTGCATGTCATTCCTGCATATTTTTACCTCCGGGGAAGGAGATATCCTTCCGCGAGGAGGTTTTACTATGGTTCGAAACATTTCTGTCAGCAGCTGTTTCTCGCGATCGGCTGGACGGATTTGTCTGTGGTTCGGTATACGTATTGCTGTTGGGCTGCAGATGATGCAGAACGTTTTTGTTTAATTGTATATGTGTTTATGGGCGTGGAAATAAAAGGTTTTTAAGTGCTCCGGACACCCCCGCCATGCTGAAAATGGAATTTACCATGTTGTTAAGGAATGGGGAGGTTTCAGTTTTGGGTCTTACCATTTAAAAGGGGTCAAACAGAGGGGTGTCTGCTTCCGATATGTATTTTGAAATATTATCGCAGTTGTATCTCGCGTTGGAGTATACTGGACTCGGTGTATGTTCTTCTAATGGGCTGTAGATGGTGCAGGTTTTTTTTGTTTTTATTGTATATGTGTTTTGGGGCGTAAAAATCTGAAAATGGTCGCGCGCGGCGCTGGGCTGGCTGCCAGCGCAACTTCCGGGTGGGCCAATGGGTCAGGGGTCAACGCCCTCTTGCGCAATCTTGGATGTTTTCGGCGTATAGTACGACTTCTTAACTTACAAATACCGTGGTATACTGTCAGACGTTCTCGACATGCATTTTTACCGTGGGTACATGGTATGGGCTGCAGATGAAAATGTTGACCAGTCCTGGAACGCTAAATCTAACACATAAAATTCAACACCATCAACTATACAGAACAAACAACATGGAAAAATATACCGGAGGTATAAAATCTCAGATTTTACTTGTTCATATTTTAGTTGACCTGGCCGTCATATTTCACAAGCCAATGATAGGCAGGCTACATTGTAGTGGAGTCATCTGATCTCAGGTTCCTAATAGCTTCTCACCCCATGTGTGACCCCAGGGAGGTTCGTTGACCTCCAGTGTCTCTGAAGTTGTTCCATCATTTTGCACCCACTGTCTGTGGCTGGTGTAATGTGACTGTGATGCTCACACAGTGTATCGTAGATTTGAGAGAAAAACAGGCAAATAAGAATCAATGGACGATGCATAATGGGTTTGCCACCATGTGATATTCAAAGTCAAACACCATAATTGCTCCATGAGACTTTGATCACATTAGAGGCAGATTATGTGATTATGGGGGTGGTGCATAGGGTTCAGTCAAGTAATGGACTGATGGTATCAAATTATGTGGGAAGTGGACTCATAATGTACAGCCTGTAGAGCATTGCCCTTCTCAGCTGATATTATTAAGTCAAGTGTGATTAAGTCCTGGCCTCAGGACATATTCAGCTGTATGGTGTTTTTGAAACTTTGCCATTTGGACACTAAAGCCTGTATCAAAGACAGGTTTTGCTTAGGAGTAAAAAAAGAACAAGGCTACTTCTGAAATCTGGCCAAGCCATTTGGGACTCATACGCTTGAAATCATGGTTTTATTGATTTTCATACAAGGAACCTGCGCAGAAATGTTACTATAGTGACAAGGGAATCTGAATCAGAGTCCACAATCCAGGTGTTTCTATAGAGGCCCTCGACGTGTTGCTAATGCTATCATACCAGGGAATGTTCCATACAGGGCACTTCATCATAACAGTGTCCCTACGGCCCTGTTACCATGGCTGTCAATCAACTCATCAGCTATTTATTATGTGGTGAAAGCGGTGGTTTCTGCTGTTACAATGTGATGTAATTATGGCCAGGGAAAGTGTAATCCGCTGGGGAGTAATCAATTACCAGTAATTGTGATAACATCATAACACACCACTGTATTATCAAATTATCACTGTAATGGGGTGTTTGTCAATTAGAAGTATATTTGTCTGTAATTTTATTAAAAGCAAATTGAGTGACATCTTCTGTGCCAGAAGCTGGGAACATCCTAGTTCCAGTTGTAGGCAATATATGTTTTGCAATATGGTATTTGTTGATTAGAAAACATGCTGCTGCCTTCGGATAAGGCAAGGAGGCTGATTTTTAACCTCCTTGGATCGGGTGATTTGATGCACATACATGTATTACTCCAGTCAGAAGCTCTGATACATGTCTGACAGGCATCGAAACACAAGCAGGTGGCAGTCTAAACTGGTTGTGTAAAAACAAAACCCCAATATCCTATATTTCACCAGTTAGATGAAATTATTTCCGGATGATTTCTTAAGTTATAGCACTGTTGTCTGTATTAGATCTGGGATGCAGTAGACAACAAATCAGGCTTCCTGACCAGGAATGGGCTGTACAAGGCCTTGGCCCTCACAGCCATGGCTCAACAGGGCAAGAACATAGAGGACAGTGACAAGATACTGGAGAATTTCGGAGACCAAGGTAGGAACTTACACAGGATAGTACTAGTAAATGACAGAAGGCAAGGCAATTTGCTAATCTTTGTCAAAGTTCAGCGACATGTACAGAATTTTGTGATACATGTTTTCTTTGCACTTTTTACATTGTGATTTGATTGATTACCTATGGGAATTGATTTTTAATTATGTATAACTAATATATTGCTTACCCAACTTTTATAATTTCTAATGTGGGTGTGTGTTGAAAGTTTTCACTGAAAACATCTAAACACTATAAAGTTTCCGTGTACTATATATGACAGTACAATGTTTTTACTAAAATTTGTATGTTTCTATAATGTATGTTGTGTTACGCCGAAGGGTGGTTATACTGGCTATACAGCTACAGATACAGATGTTTATATGTCATTTTATAAGATGATATGAATTACACGTGTATATAAAATTTCAGAGCTGCCCCGGCCAGCCTTGGGTGACCTGAGTGACCTGAAGACCCTGAGTATCAAAGTCCGTCGGGAGCGGAACCCCTGTGTGCTGGGCTTCAGGTTCATGGAACTGATCGAGCTGGAAGCCATTGAGGTGGATCTCATACCTGAGAAGAAGGGACTCATTCTTAAACATGTGGAATATGAAGTGTTAAGTAGGGTAGGTCTCGATACTGCTGCTATTACATTACAAAGTAGTATATGTAAGCTCGATTAACATTTATCTGCTGGGTTACATAAATCTGCTACTTCAAAAAACAGTGCATTTGAGAGATCTTTGGTGCAACCACCAGGTATGCAAAGATATGCAGGGGTGAATTATACTGTAACACATTGGAGATCTATTACAGTATATACAGTATATGGCGGGCAATGTTATATTAGAGATCCTATACCATAGATGCATTTTTCACTGTGGCAGATTTATGTGACCAAGTTGAGAAATGTTACTAGAGTTTGATTGTGCAGAAAATTATCTTATTTTTTTGTGATGGCAATCTCTGACACCATTGAGCTGGTAATACTGACTTCCTGTTACAAGTCCAGCATGCTGATAATCATTTATCTCCTCAGATCCAGGCTCCTGGAATGTCCTGGTTGTGTACAGAGATTTTATTGCAAAGGAAATGGTCAAAATGGCTCAAAATGCAACAAGAGTACAAATTCCCTTTAGTGAGAAAATGTTGCAATAAAAATGTTTTGTTTGATAGAAGGATAGAATGTATATTCTGTATATTTGGCATCACAGAAAAGGTTTTGAATCACAAAAAATATGCCTCGCATTCTTGCAAACACACCTGCGTCCATTAAACTAAACATTAAAAACTGTATCTGTATTGTATTTTTGAAGGCAAGCAAAGGCAACAAGAGGCCCTTTTGTATATAACCCAGCACTTTGCTACAGTGTATTATTTTGAAGTGCAGGGCTGTGCTTGCCTGATTGACTCTGTTGCATGAGGCATGGCACTTGTGAGGTACTCAGGGAAACTCTCTAACCCCTCAGTCAAGATCTTCAAAGCCATTAGCTGACCCAACCTCAAATTCTTTACCCTCAGATATCTCTTTGCAGCCATTCATGTCTACTATATCTATGACATACATTTTAATGGTACATGCATCTTCAAATATAAGAATAGAAATCATGCTCGTTATGCAGAACACATCGATGTAAGATGTGACTAATGTTGCCATTCAATTTCATCTATGCATTCTGAACTTTACCCTGGAATGTACATGCAAAACTAATGAGGGAAAAATTGCAAAAAGTTGTTAGAAAGACTTAAAGAAAGGTTTGTTTATACAGTTTTTCATGTATTTATGAATAGCTGACTAAAATACGTGTGATTTCAAGCCCCCTCTTAAGAGTTGTATTTCTGTGTTATCTAGAGCCGGTCATTGACCTGTAAATCCTATTACATCACGCCTACCAGTCATGTCCTACATGGGCATAAGCCAAGAAACACTTTGTTGGTTGTTTGAAAAATGTGAAAGAGATTACATGATATAGGATATGGCAAAAACATGCAGAACTAAAGAAATTACACATCCTTTACCTGAAACAAAGTTACTCCAAATGTTTCCACACAAGTCCGTCCTGGTCTCTCCTAGTTGCTTCCCTGCAAAATTTTGCTGGCATACTTTTGCATTGGCTGCAAACGGATGACTGCAAGTACCTGAAAAGTAACCCCCCCTTTAGGCCTTGTACACCTGTTTTGTTGCTGTTTCATGTTATTGGTTAAGGTAAGCCCCTGGCCTGTGATCAAAGCTTGACCTAATTACCTGTGGGTTGTAACAATAGTGAACCCAGGTGGTTTGTCAGGTACTGTTTCTTGTGTGTTTAAACTTGTTCACATCCTGTTACACTGACCACAGTGGTCTGTTGGGTGTGATCTCTATTGTTGTCCCACTTACACGGTCACCTGGTGGTATCCTATGTCTCCATGGGTTATGTTACAGTGCTGACTTTGTTTGTGTTGTCTGGGAAGTGTGAAGTATTAAACAAAGAAAGACAAGTTAGTGGGGAGGTGCAGTTTTCTCACATGAATCCTTACTTCTATAAACATGTCAATAACACACCTGTTATTTATGAACAATGTACTTTTTCCATTTTTTGTTGGAAGAACATATTTTTGAGATCTGTGCTTTTTTTTAAAGGTTTAATTTTATTTCAGTGGTTAATTTATTGAGAGAATTCTTTGCAGCCATGAACTGAATTGTGAGCTTATTACATTGCATAGCCCAATAATAATCATCGTCTTCAATCTAGAAACAAAAGAAATTTCTTGACAATTCTTCTTGATATTTCTTTCCTTTGTCTGTACAGAGATACAAGAGCAAAGTACTAAGAAGGTATAACGACTTTGTAGCATTCCAAGAACTCTTGCTTGTCCGGTTTCCCTACCGTATGGTTCCCCGTCTACCACCCAAGAAAATGATCGGAGGTAAGACTATACTGACATGTTGTTGTAACTTTAATGTCATGGTCTTTAACGTTTACAAAGTGATGTTTAACATTTTTTTCATTTCTCCATAAGAGAATCAAGTTGATATAAAAAAAAAACGTTTGATAATGATAATGATAAGTAACGATATACATGTATGTGTTAAATTGTATAAATTGAAAAGAGAACAAATGACTTTCAGCTGTCATCAATATTAGTACACTTCTTTCACCATCGCATACACTTTCATTGACTGTACTATTGAGATTGATTGAGATAGAGAAACATATAGATGGGTCTACCCAAGTAAGCCTGTTCCTCTCTGCTATTTCTGTGGAACATCCCTTTCCTTGTACATTTGATTAACTTGTACTGAAAAGCACAAAGTTCTGCACATTATCTTGTCTTTACCCTTTCCCTGTACATCTCACTGTGGGCTAGCTCTTAGGTAAGACACCTTTCTCCCTGTCTTTACTTCTACACTTCAAGAACAACACTGTTCTAGCTCCCTATATTGATGCATCATTGCTCTACATGTAACTTGACTTACATTTATTCTCTTCAACGTCATGCCAAAAATCGTTTTTGAAAGAGTTTACCTCAAAATGGCTTTAAGAAGAAGTTACATAGGGCAGGTTCTTACTGGAAGTACTGGTAACCTCAGAATTAAATGTCTATGGGGATTATTGGGATTATATCATGCTGTATTATCTCTTTTTTATGTATAGCGGACAGAGAGTTCATTGAAGGAAGAAGAAAATCATTGAGACGCTTCTTGAACCTGGTAGCGAGGCATCCATCTTTTTCTGAAGAGTCCCTTTTGAAGTTCTTCCTTACATTTGGTGGGGCTGTAAGTATCTAAGAAATAGTCTAATATTTTTTGCTGAACTTCTGCTTGACTTTGGCAATGAAGGATTGCCAAGAAGTTACATATAAGTGTGTGTGTGCTTTATGTATAGCCTGGGTACCATCCTACTTGTATGCCGGGGCTCCCACAGTCGCTTCCTTAAGAAGTACTTAGGGAAGCGAGTGTGGGAGCCCCGGTATACAAGTAGGATGGTACCCAGGCTACTTTATGTAGAAAGCCAGGGGTGTTTTTGTTTGTTGTTTGACATGTTTGTTCCTTTGTTGTTGACAGGACATGCAACATGTTATCAAAGTTCAGTTCCGGGGCATTCCAGATGAGTTTGTTACCAGTCCTCTTGCCGTCCAAGCCAAGGTAGGCTGAGAGTCTTATTTCATTGACACTATCATATTCATGATGTAGAAACCAACATGATGTCATAATTCTGCTTTTAAAGATTGTTGATAACTGATGTATTGAGTCCTAAAATGTTCTGCTGTTTTTCCTCCAACTATTTTCCCCATCTTGTACACATCAGGATCTTGTACCGATGGACACACAAGTACAGTTCAGCAACAGCCGTGACTTCATCCGCATTCTCTTCAACAGTATCACCCACATCAAGGGGGTGGCAGACCGCATGGTGGCCAGATCTACAGGTCAGGTCTTCAACAGAACTGTTAATATCATCACTGTGTTTATTCCAGAATTGCTGTTGTGTTCTTGTACCGTCTTTTAAAGCAATAGTTTTAGTCTTAGCTTTGTTTGTAACCATAATCATGATCAATCTTTATGGATGTTACCTATGCAAAGGGTAACATCATCTGAAAATGATATCATTTCATCAGGTCGGTAGGACATAGGACTTATGGGGATTTTTTTCTTGCACAACCCGTACTCTTTCACCTGCTGATGTTTTGATGTGGGATGTCAACAGTTTAGAATGAGCTAATCAGTACCTTCTTCCAATGTTACCGTACCACAATGTGCAATGTCCCTTTTTTCAGGCTACTTAACTTGTACATTACTAATGCAGTTTTCCTAAAACTCTCTAACTTCTGTCTTACCCCTGTGTGTAGGCCTGGCGGCAGACATGTTGATATTTGGGAAGGAACTGAGTGTTCTGGCCAACGACCCGCCAGCTCTGTCCTCCTGGGCCTGCGGCTCGATAGACACCTGGTCACACCTGCAGAACGGCTTCAAGAGCCTGTCTGTAGAGTTTGGGGTTTTAGCAGACAAGTCTCAGAAACAGGTGACCATGTTTGTACAAGCATCTGCATGTCCAATATTGTCAACATGTTGTTATGTTAGATGTTGATGATTAAACTCAAGGAAATTTGCTCCTGAAGTTTCAGCCATTCCTTCCTAAAAGCAATAGAAAATTCTACAACTCTTATATGGCCATAGACTACTTTTATCTGTGGCCTTCTTCAGAATAACTTTCAATCACTTAAAACATGTGATACATAATACACATGTAGAATTTGCCATTTCCTTATATTGGATCAAAAGGATAAACCTAATCATGCTGCTTAGCAACACAGGTGAGCTCCTTCAAGTTGTTCATATTTGAATTTGATTTATTTGAAAGTTGATAATGTTCTGTACTTCAGGCACATGTGGAAGATGACTGCCTAGTGGAACAACTTCAGTACTTCTTGGACCTATTGACTTCATACAAGGTACAGTATGTCATCAATTGTTTTAGTCTTTCAGGGCATCATACTCAGGATATGCCTCATATGAGAAGTGATGTTTTATGTCCTATTAGTAGTCTTATTTTGTTCCTTCTTTGTAGAGTTAAGAAACACAAGAAATACACTCACTCACCTACATTATTTTTATAGGTTGTACATTGCAGGTTGTATATTGTACAGGAATATCACAGTAAGCCAAGTCCTTGTTTTGTTTCCCCAGGACTTGTGTGATCGCCATGAGAAAGGCGTGTTGTCAGACCATCAACGTGCCCTGCAGAAGATGGGTCAGATGAAGAAAAGGAAAATGTCGGCAACGATACAGGGCAAGGAACAGGTCTGCACCAATCAGATCTTACAGTACTTTAGTATCTGTTCTGTGTCCGCATTTTTCATTGGTCAGTGCTGTTTATCATGTGTTTGATGACTAAAAATATGTTTGACAATGTAATGTCTAATCTAATATTTCATTTTTTTTAGACTGCTCTAGTGGAACAGTTGGAAGCCAGGATTATAGAGGTGAGGAAAATAATGATGTCTTCACATATAGATTTAACATAGCAAGGTAGTCCATCTGTTATGTACAATGGTAGGATCACATTGGATGTACATGATGATAATGAACATATAGGTCCAACAGTTTTCAAAGTGGCTTTTAGCATTACATGATAGGTGTTTCATCCTAATGTCCCAAGTACTCACTGTAGACTATTCAGCCAAGAGACTCTTGTTAGAGTGGCTGTAAAAGCATTTTGAGACCTTGTCCTAATGTAGCTACTTCAAAGTGTAACGTGCTGCGTTCTTGGTCTGCAGCAAGAGAGTGAGATCAACAACATGGAGAACAGGAACTACTTCTCCCTGCACTGTGTCCACATGGAGACCCAGCTCATTCACGCTAACATGGAACTCCTGGTCAAGGTCATGGAGGGGCTGCTCAGTACACAGGTCAGGGGGCACCAAGAGGTCAGTAACCTTTTCTTCTTACAGGTGGTTTATTTTTGTTAAATGTAAGAGACCATTTTGTCGTAAAAATGATGTAATGAGTATAACTTCTATACCTGGACAGACTGAATGTATCCAAAAGTTTACCACAACTTTGTAATTGATTTTTGGAGAAGTTAGCGTAGTCATTAGAAAAGCAAGGTGACATTTTTTCATGTTGGAATCTATTACTATTTTAAAACATATATAGTGCATTATTTTGTTTCTGAGGAAATCTTACATTGTTGCTAGTTCCTTCACAGCTGGCACAAATGTGGGAGAACGTAGCACCAAAGATCAAGACTCTGATCCCACCGTCCGCGAAATCACCAGGCACGTCCCCCGCCACGTCCCCCATGTCCGAAACAGCGCCGTCATCCTTCCGGTAGAACCAACCATCACGTTTAGGCCATTGGTAGTGTCACCATAGTCTGTAGCCTGCCCTCTCCTTTCAGCCTGGTCACATTAGTTACATCGTACGACATCTTTATAGTCCGAATGGCAAAACTTGCTATTAGATAGACTTAGAAGAAAGCAATAAACTTTAAACATGTAACATGAAAAAATCAGGACGGTGCTAATAAAAACTTAAAATGAACACATTACCCATTGTAGGATTTATGCTGTTGTTTGTTAATGAGCTGTTGAACAGAATTGCTGAAGTGACAGACAGCTGACAGTGGAAGATATGAAAGATAGTATATGTTACATTATGTAGTGGTTATGCCAGTTAGCCTGCATGCCGACCATGGTAGCTGTAGTCTGCTCCAACTGATCTTGCATTATGTATTTTATAAAGTGAAAGTACCTTGCTCATGATTTATAATATAACATATCATATGTAGTATGTATGGGTCCTGCCATGTCTAAGCAAGATAGCATAAACTTTCTTGCCTTTTTCACTGCACCACTGGAAGGAGAGGGGTAATCATGGTGTCATACCCATATTTGCTGGTCAAATGAATTTGTGATACAAAAATTGTACATATATTTGATAGACACAATTGTATATGTATACATGAAAGTTTTACCAGTAGTGATTGTATCCCTAGGATCCATTTTGTTTATAACATATCTTTGTTTGAACCAAAGCCAACATGGTATAATTGTGCCTTATGATTCGAAAAGCTATGTCTGATTTTCTATAGTTAACTTGTTAGTACAGAAATATGTTTTTTGTTGTCAAAAAATGATATCCTTAGTTAAAAGTATTGCCAGGCTCTCAGACAGCCATCAAAAGCTGGGAATGTGTAACACAATTCATTATCATCATGGAGTTAGAAGCATTCTAGTGTAGAGTAGGGTACAACAATCAGATTCATGACTGGAATTGTATCGTAAGACTTTTTTCCAGTTGATATTCAGAACACATTATGAACTGTAACGTGTAATTACATGTTTGAGAAAAGATTCCATTTGAATATTGTACAAAGGTATGAAGCAATAATCAAGAAAGATGGTATAACATTTGTTCAGATTCTATGGATTTGATTTCTTTAAAAAAGAATGTGTTATGCTTAGGTCTACCAAAATGTGGTATTTGGTTCATTAACCTTTATGTCCTTTTTTTGCATTCTTGCATTTGAAAGTAATCTGGTGTGGTTCAGAAAATGACATGCCCTCAGAACTATGTTACCTGTACTGTGGCAACCATCCTTTGTTTATTGCTGGTTTTGATTTAAAAAGAAGAATGAAATATTCCTATATATGTTGTAAGAAAAAGTCCTCTTGCTTTTCAGTACGAGTTGAGTTGCCATCTTTATAGTGTCCTTTGTTTTGAGATACTAGTAGTTATTGTTCCTTACTTAGTCAATAATACAAGGATAGAAAAACTTCCTGTATATTTCCCCATTAGAATACTTATGTGAAAGCTACAGGATTTCAGACCAATGCAATACCTTTTCTTCAAATTTATCAAGGAGAAAACTGCAGTTGTAATTTTGGTCGCTAGGAGTACTGCAAACCTCACAGGCAACAAGGGACGGTGGCACCTGTACTTACAGTGTTCTGATAGGGGGACACACTTGTACACTGTTTGTAACGCTGTAATGTTTGGGTGACAAGGCCTGGGATGCCTATCATCATCTAAATCCGCAGTTAGACACGCCTCGGATGACGGATCATAAATTTCATACTTTCTCAAGAACGTGCTAAGCGTGTCCCTTGATGAAATGATGTGACATGGCTGTTCCACAGTTGGCTAGGGGAGTGTGGCACGTCGCTTTATGGATGGCGATTATCCTCCAGCCTTTCCAGGGCGAATTGATTCGCCGACAGCACATCAAGAAGGCTCCAATCTGACCTCGGGTGTAAATGGGCCCACTGTAAGTCAGCCAACGTCTGTGCTGGAAGCATATAGCATTAGCCGTTTGAAATAACACAAGGATGAAATAAATCAGAAAGTAATGATGTAGAGAATAGTGTTTTCTTGGTAAGCTCTTATACGCTCGCGATCTCACGAGAAACGCTGGCAAATGTAGCCTTTCATTTAAAGTTTTTATTACTTCCTAGCACACTAAAACCGGCAATGATTGAAAATGGATATACCGGATCCCCGGTTGGAGCCAACGCCGGACAGGTGACATTAATATCGGCAACTCTCACCTCTGCGCCGCCGTGAAGGACGTTCTAGAGAAAATCCTTGAGCTAAAGAATATCATATGTCGCGAAAAAGCGCCTTTGAGAAGTGGTGAACAGGGAGCAGGGATATTGGCAACAGAGCATGCTTTGAGGCCTTGTTTCCCCGTGAATGAGGCGGTTCTGTGTGGGGGAAGAAAAGACGAAATCGGATCGGCCACGTTCAATTTTGTGGGCTCAGGTTGGAGACAACGTGGCACTGTTTGATGGCGGTTCCAGTTGGCTGAAAATAAAGACACGTGCCACGTTGTAGTTGTACCTTTGTCCCTGAATATGTTAAGGTCGTGTATGTGTTAAGGGCCAGGGTACTCCACATCCGTTATGTTATATGTCCTCCGGCTGTGACACCACTAATCACCCTTGTTTATGACTCACTGGAGAAGAATGGAAGCGCGTTTAAAAGGACAGGTAGCGGTATGAGCTCACCGAAACAGGCGGCACAACGTGAGACAGGTAGACTCCAATCACACGCAAACATTTCTGTGGGATTACGTCACTGCCATTACCTCACGGCGTCCCGCACACCTGTTTGTCGTGCCGCTATTGGCTGGACGCGACAAGTACGATCTGGCCGCAACCAGAGCGATCCCGTGGACTTATTGTGTTGATCATAAAAGAAGAAAAGAAAGGGGCGCGAAACATCAATAAGTACTCCACTCGGTGTAGTGTTTCAAGGTTCTTCAAAAAAAGCGCGCGCTCATTGGATGAAATTCCCATTCAACGTGGTCAATGGACAACTTTCAGCGGGCGCAATTTTCTCATTGTCGCGCCTCAATTAGCAATAGAACGGACAAAAGAAAGAAATGACAGGCTACTGGTACATTTGAAGTGTAAGAAATTGCCCACTGTGTTTGATATGCAGATAAGATTTGTCTGTGATTTGTAGCTCAGAAACTTGCCAGACTGCTCAGCTACTGCTAAACAAGGTGACGTCATGCTTTCTAGGCGTCGGGGCAGAGGGCAGTAATGTGGTGCAAGTAGCCCTCCGCGAAATCTATAAACATGTTGTAATCGTAAAGTATACCGGCTGCATTCCCAAAATTTTGATAACAAGGAAAGATAAATGATAAAAGACGTGTTTATTGACACTATTCGTCGCTGAGTGGCGTCTTCGCGCAAACAAGTTCCAACAGATAAAGTAGTGCGTGCGGAAGTTTACCTAGCGTGGGTAGTAATCGGTCGTGCGTGGCCGTTGTACGTCCGGTTTTTACTTTGGCGCGATTTCGAATTCCAGGCCACAAGTTTTGGGCTTGGCTCTCCACCAGCAGCTGTTTGGGTTTCCCAGCCGCTAAACTCGAGGCAGTTTGAATCCTCTCTGCACCGTGAGCCCCAGTTCCGCGGCCGTGTGCCTGTTGTTCGGGCCAGACGACTTGACTTGCGATAAGCTCGAGTTCTTGTGGATTTGATCGTGTGGGAGGGCACGAACACAACAACCAAACATGCTCAAGTTCGCCAGGACTCGCTTCAAGCGCGGGGCTACCGACGCCGAGAGGGAGAAGCTCAAGCAGGAACTCTTCACCTTCAGGAAGGTAAGACCGTTGTATTTGCTGTGCTCGTAAGGACGCGGAGCGAGGCCCCCGACTTGGGCGGCCGTCCTGGCTTCACACCGCTGCGAGATCTTGTTTCAGGATCAAGGAACGTGTCCCCCCGGAGCCGGGTACCCCGCCCAGCCCGGCAGACCACTACTGCTCGGCCGGGTGCACCCGCAAACTTTTCCTCCTGTTCACACAGACAAGCACAACCAAACATGCAGCCGTCTGCTGACGACTCAGGATATATAGGTCCTAACTTTGCTAGTCCGTTATGTACGATCTTACATTTTGTCCACGTTACACGGCACAATGGTGCCTTTGTGTGTGTGTGCTAGTACTAGTAGTGTGGCTTCCGTGTTGCATGTTGGAGTGTTGTGTGGCTTGGTGGGCACAGCGCGACCGACCCCTGCATGCACCGAACAGCTGCTAGCATGTCGGGGCACTACAAGCCCGCGTGCGACCAGACCAATTCATTACTACTCGTCAAATGCCGCTTGGATCGATTGATAACTCCCTGCGTGGCGGATCCGAACCCGTGTCCCCCAGTACACAAAGTGGTCATGTCGGCACCCCCGGTTTACGTGACACACATTTCAACCAAGCGAGGATGTTTTGGTGCCGGTCAGGGCAGGGTTCCATTGTGTGCCATTCGCCTCTCCGTAGTTTGAAGTTGAACCACAGTGGCCTCGCCAAGAATGTTGGTAGTCAATATGGCATCTCCAGTAAATAACTTTCAGCACTCTAAGACTGACAACAAAGCAAGCCCCTGCATGCAAACAGTGGGAATTACAATCTGGAAGACCCCAGGCTGTCTAATTGTAGGTTAGGACAACATACCCGGAGAAAACCTTCTAATCTTTTTTTGTCGTGAACAGCCCAGCTGGAATAGCCGTGAGTCGAGGTAGAATTCCTCTTCCGGCAAACTGGAATGTTGCTCATATCCTAAAGTATTTCAGGAAATCCCAGGCATCAAGTATGTACACTCGGAGCTGGCCCACTTGTTACTGTGATGTTTAAAGACTTGGCTCGTCTGGTCTTGTGGACAGAACCTGCTTCCTCAAACAATACAGACAAGTCGTAGAAAGATTTTGTGAGATAATTTGCTTGGTGTGGTTCAGGGGAGGTGCAAGCCAGTAGCATTGTCGAAGTAATTACACCATGAATTGGTTCCATAATTAATGGTTGTCAAGATTTCCCAGTCCCAACAGACAGTTTTAGTATTGATTATGTCCAATGGGACTCCGTACAACACTAAATACTGCAGTACCGAATACAAACCGCTCCGTATGGTGGCTAGAAGGTGTCCTTGTTCGGTGCATTTGCAAACAACAACCACGCCCCCAACAGAACTTTGGCCCCAGTGTAGTCTAGACGGTGTTTTATGACTGTGACTTTTTGTGAGTTGTGTATTACATTGCATCGTGCGTGTAGCGGCACACGTCAAGCTTCTTAGTTTCCAGAAAGGAAATCAAATTTGTACAGTTTATGTGTAATTTGAAGACGTTGACTGATAGTAGTGATGCATACCTAAACCCAATTTCAGGTTCAGGTCCGGATTCAAGTCCAGAGGTTTAGGTTCAGGTCCAGACTTAAGTCCGGACCTAAACCCATGGCATATACAAAATTGCATGTTGGCAACCTTGCAATGTTGTCTGGGTGAAACTTTGGCCACATAACATGGAGGCTGGTACTTGACGATGCCCGATGGCAATGTTTTCTTCATTTTGCAGCAAAGATTTTGGAATCTACGGAAGGTTTTAGGTGGTTTAAAAAGAAAAGGGGTATGTGAAATGGTCTTTTATGGTAATAAGTCCGGACTCGGTTCTTGACTTTTAGGTTTTTTTGGACTTGAACCTAAACATTTTTACAAGTCCGGATCCAAGTCCAGTGAACCGGTATGCATCACTAACTGATAGTCATCTTTTTTGTAGCAGTTGGCTGCATCTAAACATGAAGTGCATTCTGCTGGAACACTACACACAGTTAACAATAGGAAGTGTCAGTTGAACCTTCTCACAGTCTCATACATGTAGATAGTCATTTTCAGTGAACTAGACTATACTAAGGCCACACCAATTAAAATGCTGGTTCTTTGATTTTTTTCACAGAAAAAAAATGTGAAGCAATAGCCGAATAGGGAAAAACAGGCTTAGACATGTTATGATAGCCCCAAACACTAGGATAGAAGCCATGAAGTCAACATACCATCCTGGTTTGTAATTCAATCAATGGATTGATAATTTGATAGATTGGGAAAAAAGTAAGGACTAGGATTACGAAAAGGACTTTCTAACTGCTGGGGCCTTAATTTCACCATTTTGGAGTTAATTTAGAACCCAATTTTTTTGGCAAACCAGAAAAAAATAAGAGGTCGAGTCGAAGAACCAATTATGTTGGTATGGTCTAAGTATGACTTAATTGTTATTGCAGTTTGAATAAAGTATGACTTCAACAACTGAATATTATAACTTGTTCTTTATTTTCAGACCGTTGAACATGGGTTTCCGCATCGCCCCAGCGCTGTGGCCTTTGACCCCGAGATGAAACTACTGGCGATCGGCACCCGCTCTGGCCTCATTAAGATGTATCCTTTCACCTCTGTGTGTTCTGAGCTTAATCATTAACTGTATTATGTCTGGTGCTGTGTACATGTAGTGTACCGCCACTTCTTGTTTCCCATGTGATCGTAGCAACCGAACATGATAAAGAGCTCTATTGAACATGCTCTGATTATGGGCTTATGTATGATCATCCAGATCACAATACTTCAATGCAGATAGTAGGTGACATCATCTCTAATCTCTAAGCAGATCTCTAGGCAAAATCGTAACCAACTCAAACAGACAATAGAAAATGGTAC